AAGGAGGGAGATAACAAAATGTAAAAAAGGTGTCTGTCAAAGACCAACCAGGCAGCTAGGGACAAGTTCCCTCTCTGGTCCGAGCCTAAGCCGGGACCAATCAGCAGGAGAACACAACCAAATCTATAATTTACATACGGGGAAGTGGGAACCTATAAAACTGACATATTCGCGCCCAAAAGGGTTCCTTCTTCGACCTCCTGCGTGAGGACCAAGGAACCCCGGTGCACCGGCCTTCAATAAACCTCTTGCGTTTTGCATCGGCTTCCGACTCTTGTTGTTTCCTGGGCGAGTCGAAACTCCTAGGAGACCGCGAAGGTCTAACAAATCTATGTATTTAAAAATCCTGGAAAGAATATACATCAAAATATTAACACTGGTTATCTTTGGGTGGTGAGTGTGAGATCTTATTTTCTTCATCTTGTTCCTTTTTCACACTTTCTACAATGAGCATATTATTTCTTCTATAAACAACCCCCCACACAACAAATATCATAAATTTCCATTTCACAGTTTATGTAACAAACAGCAATAAACGTTATACAGATTAAAACTTCACTCTCATCTGAACTATTGGATAGTTAGCAAATGAGTTTTCCCCTCGTTCTTAACTTAATTGCCCCAGTGTATTGTTTCTGTAGTTGTGCAGCCAGAGTTGGCTGGAATTCTACAGGATCCTCATCCCTGCTTCATGAAACAAAACAAAACAAAACATGCACAAGAGCTGAGATCTCTGGATCTCAGTTGGGGTTGGAGACAGACGAGGAGCAGCACTCTCACACAGTTTGGATGGGTATGCAGATCGGTCTTAGCCTAAGATCTGTCGGAAATGCCTCAACTCGTCTCTAGACGCTTCCGTTGCCTAGTTACGAGAACCACCTTCAGCTCCCCCTCCCCCTCAGTCTTCAAGACCACTCCCCCTTCTCCCTCCCGCCTCTCCGGCGGGGGCGGGGAGCCGGGCCGCTTTAGCCACTCAGAGCCCTCTGCGGCGGGCCGTCGAGTGATGATTGGAGAAGTTCATGGGCGGTGCTTGGGGAGGGCTTTCCCAACGTCAGCACGTTGACGCGGGGGTTTTCTCTGGTCGGCCCAGCAAACCCTTCCCGGGTCTGTGAAACTGCGCCTTTGGCCTCGCTGTGCCTGCGCGAGGAGCGCAATATTCCGCTCGCTGGTCGGCGCGGTTATTGGCCTTGGTTCTCGGACTGACCGCCCTTACCTCCCTCCCGGCCTCTCCTCCGGGCCCATCCTCGTCAGGGGCGTGTCGCAGCGACGGCGGCCCCCCAGACTCGGCCCAGGACAACTAGCGGCCCATCTCCGCTCCGGGCTCGGATGGGAGGTGGCGGGAGGAGCGGCCTGGGATGTTCAGTCTGATGGCCAACTGCTGCAGCTGGTTCAAGCGGTGGCGGGAGCCCGTCAGGTAGGCTGGAAACGGTTGGCCGGGTGTCTTCCTAGGGGAGGGGGACAGCTGCGCCCCAAGGGTAGGACGGGGCGCCGCCTGTCCTCTCTGCGCCTGGACGAGTCTCCCAGGCCGCAGGGGATGCTTTCCCTCCCAGTTTGATATATCCCCTCAGGGAGCGATAGGAGAACGTAGACTTAATGTTTAGTTGCAATTAAGTTCTCATCCGTAATGCTTATTATTGTTATAATTTAAATGGGTCCTAATTTCTTAAAAAGTTGTGGATTTTGTGTGTGTGTGTGTGTGTGTGTGGAAAAATTGTGTATATTTTTCCTCTGAAACTTTTGTAATGGGAATTTTTTTTTAATAGGGAAGAATGGAACATAGTTTTCATAACATCCACAAACCCCTTCCCAACACACACATTTTGTTTGAGAACTTGGACCTGAAATCTGGCTCCACTACTTAATAATTATATGACTTAACCACTTTTGGCCCCATCCTCCTCATATTGAATGAGAATGATAGTATTTATGCTTTAGGAGTTTTGTATTAAATGAGAATAACTGATGGAAAGTGTTCTTAACTGTAGTGTAGCTTCAATTTTTATATGAGATTAAGCACTTTAGTTGAAAGAGTCCACTTCTTGATGTTTCATTTTGAATGCTAGATGTATTAATATTTAGAGCCTGTTACTTGTTATTCATTCATTTGCTGAGAAAATACCATGTGCCAGGCACTATGCTAGGAAGAAGTCAGTGAAAATGATGCTTTTAAAATTGAGCTGCTCAACCAATAAAGAAGCCTTAAGTTCGTTGGTCTTTATAAATAATGTAGATTTTTTATAATTCTACTTTAGAATTAGGCCAAGGGTAAATTATAGCAAAAGTTTTGGGTTTTTCAATCATTAGCATTTCAAATAAGTATTTGCCATAAGGGTGAACTATCCTTTAAAGAATGGCTCTGAAAAGTTACACTTATAAGGAAAACTATATGCCTATATTTGGAAATTTGCTTTAAATGAAACTTTTGAATTCTTCTCCCATCATTAACTCTTAAATGGATGTGAATCTTTTAGATATAAGTGATGTGATCAACTTTTAAGAGTCAAAGATGTGTTTGGGTGTGTAGACTCTGATTTAATTTGTTTTAATCATGTTCTGGTCTGATTGCCCAGTCTCTACTAAGATGGGAGGGTTATTCATAATAGATGGCCCTTTATGTTTTTCTCTATGTCTGGTTTTTAAAAAATATATTTTTTATATTTTAAAAAATATATTTTTATTTTTGTAAGAGAGCACAGTAGTAGCATGTGTCCTTTTAACTAAAAACACTCAAAAACTTTGCGCTCCAAAGGGATTTTCAATTTAATTTATCATTCTTTGTGTTTGCTTCTCCCAGTAGCTATAGTATAATAGTCTCTGGGGTGATTAAAGAAAAGACAGAGTTCAGAGAACAGAGGATGTATTGATTTCCAAGTAGAACAGATAACTGGATTTGATTAATAAAGCAGAATTGAAATTTAACCCTATAACTCAGTTTATTTTCTTCTTTAATAAGTAGTAGCATCAAGATCTGAGCTGTCCAATAGGGTAGTGACTAGTTGCATGTGGCTGTTGAGCATTTGAAATGTGGCTAGTCAGAATTGAGATGCTGTAAGTGTATAATACAAAGTGGATTTTGAAGATTTAATATGCAGAAGGGAAAAAGGTAAATTATCAGTCTTTTCTTCAGTTTGATTACATGTTGAAATGATAACTTTTGCATATACTGGATTAAATAAAATATAATATGTACTTTATTTTCACCTTTTATTTTCATTTTTTAAAAGGCAGTTACTAGAAAATTTAAACTGGAAAATTTAAACTTATATGTGTGGCTTGCAGTGTATTTTTATTGGACCTCACTGATCTAGATCATGGCATAATATGAAGGACATGGGTAAAATCTCTCAATGTTGGATAGAGCTAACTGTCAAAGGACTTAAAAACAAATTGGGTTACACCTATCTTTTAAGTACCTTTGTTCAATGCCTGGTTCATAATAGTGGCTGAATAATATTTGCATAATATTTTATGTAGTTTGATTACTCTTTAGCAAATCCTTAAGTAAATATTAAGGAAGTAGTCCATTTACTGGAATAAATAAGAGGTGAGGAAGCTGATTTAAAAAAATATATCAAATTTTGTGTGCTTAGGTATTTGTTCTGTATTTTTTAAGTTTTAGGCTGTGCTGTTCCTTATTGAGATTCCTCTTCACGTTTTTATACATATATATGCATATATATTTTTTGGCTGTATTGGGTTTTTGTTGTGCGCGGGCTTTCTCTAGTTGCGGCGAGCAGGGGCTACTCTTCTTTGCAGTGTGTGGGCTTCTCATTGCTGTGGCTTCTCTTGTTGTGGAGCACATGCTCTAGGCACGCGGGCTGCAGTAGTTGCAGCACGTGGGCCCGGTAGTTGCAGCACGCGGGCCCTAGGGCGCGTGGGCTTCATTAGTTGTGACTCACGGGCTCTAGAGCACAGGCTCAGTAGTTGTGGTGCATGGGCTTACTTGCTCCGTGACATGTGGGATCTTCCCTGACCAGGGATTGAACCCGTGTCCCCTGCACTGGCAGGTGGATTCTTAACCACTGCGCCACCAGGGAAGTCCCCCACGTTAATATTTTATGAAGATATGTTTGTAAGTGTGAGAAGTGAGTGTGTGTAAGAGAGAAGATGATCATTATTAATACACTATGTTCTGAGATTACTTTGCTGACTTAACTACTGTATACTGCACCCTTTGGATTTACCCACCTGTTCTCACTTAGATCCTCTCCCAACGAGCATATTATTCTAGAGACTGGGATCAGGGATTAGATGGCATGTTCAGAACGTGTGATAGGGACAAGGCAGGAGTCAGAGGTCAAGAGTTAAAAGTACCAGTCTGGGTCATGAGTCAGACCAGGATGCTAGGGAATTCAGGAACACTGTATCTGCTATTGTTAACCACCAGACAGAACCTAACGTAGGCTCTGCAGCTATGTAAAATTAACCTTGAATAGACTAAAAGCTATACTCACAGATAAGTGGCTTGCTCCTGTAGAAGCAGTGCACTGTAGTGTTTTTTTTTTTTAACTTTTTATTTTGAGATCATAATACAGTGATCAAAGCTAAGGGATTAACTTTGGTACTGTACTATTAACTAAATTATAGATTTTATTCTGAGTTCACTCGTTTTAACATCTAATGCTTTTTTTCTCCCTGTCCAGGATCTAATCAAGGATTCCACATTGCTTTGTTGTGTCTCTGTTCTCTCTCAATCTATAATAGTTCTGTAGTTTTTCCTTGTCTTTCATAACCTTGAGACTTTGAAGAGTACCTGTCAATTGTTTTGTAGAATACCCCTTACAAAGATGTTGCTGCATAAATGGGTAAAGGAAATACCATGGAGGTGAAATGTCCTTTTCAGTACATCATATCAAGGGGTACATGATTTTGATATCTCTTATTACTGCTGCTGTTAACCTTGGTCACTTGGTTATTGTGGTGTCTGCCAGATTTCTCAATATAGTGTTTTGAGTCAAACAGATTTGCATCTGAATCTTAGGAGTTTTGGCACTTTCCCCCCAGTCAAGTGTGGGTAATTTTTGTTTTACAACATTTTGAGAAAGAAAATGTATGCCAGTACTTGATGCTTTGCACACAGTAGTTACTCAGTAAATAATACCCCTGATCTTAGGAGATAAGTGCTGATTAGTAGGTTACCTTCTTCAATTCATTTTATACTTATCAGTATAGATAACCTTCCTTTGCTCTCTTTCTGTTAGTGGAAGAAGGGTTCCTTTTTCTTTCCAAGTCTAATTCTTACACCTGTGCACTTAATTCCATTTCTTCCCATTTCCTGGGAACTTTAGGGGTTCAGTATTCAGTCAGAGATCACAGAAAGAACTTCTGGGATACAAGAATAAACCTACACTTTTATCCAAAAATTTATTGTCCAATTTTATCATCAAAAATACAAAATCTCTCTCTCTTCTGTCTTCAGAGCTTCGCTTCTGTTCTTCCTTTAGTACGTAAACATGCTCAAGCCTCTCTTACCTAAAAAATAAACCAAATTAAATGTTTCTTAATGCTGCTGTAACAAATTGCTATCAACTTAGTGACTTAAACAAGTTTATTATCCTACAGTTCTGAGATCAGAAGTCTAAAATGGGTCAGCAGGATTGCTTGCATACTTTCTGGAGGGTCTAGGGGAGAATCTGTTTTTCTTGCCTTTTCCAGCAAAGAAAGAGACTGCCTGCATTCTTCGCTTGTGACCCCCTTCCTCCATCTTCAAAGCCAACATCATAACGTCTTATCATAATGTCTTCTCTCGTCTGTGCTCTCCTGCTTCCTTTTTATAAGGAAGGACTCTTGTAATTACATCGGGCCTACCTGGATATTCCAAGATAAGCTCCCCATCCAAGATCCTTTAGCTTTATCACATCTACAAAGTTCCTTTTGCCACGTAAGAAAACATAGTCACGGGCTTGGGAATTAGGATGTGGACATCTTTGGGAGGTTGTTATTCTGTGTCTACCATCCTAAACAACCCTGTCCCTGCAGCCATTACCCTTCCTCCTTCCCTTTACTCCACACTTAACAATTGGCAATGTATGAGTGGTACCTTCTCAGCTTCCTCCCCTTTCAAGCATTCCTTAACTTCCTGCAGTAGAAGGCTTTCACCCAGACCCTTCAGTTTTTCTTGCTACACCAGATGCTGCCTGGTTATTAAATCCAATGGATGCTTTTCAATCTTTTGGCATCAGTTGACACCTAAGATCACTCTCTTCTTGGAATTCTCTTATTTCTTTTTCCTGAACTAAAAATTTTTTCACCTTTCCGCCTCTTTCCTTTTCTATCTCTTTTTGCCACTTAGCCTTTCTTCATCTGACTCCCAAGTTTGCTTCAGGTTCTGTCTTCAACTCTCTTTTCTTCTTCTACATATTCTCCCATTATGGTCAGTCGCACCATATAGAGAGACTTCAGCTACCACCTCAACATTGACTCTCAAGTCCATATTTCCAACACAAAGACTCATCCACCACTTAAGACTTACATATCCAGTTACCACAGAATCTTCAATCCGAACACATCCAAAACTGAATTTACATCTTCTCTCATGCCGAATTGCTTCTGCCTTCCTTTTACCCACATCAGAAGCCAAGAGGAATCCTGCACGCCTCTTTGTGCTTTGTTATCTCAAATCATCAAATCCTTTGGTTTATACCTACTTAATACGATTTGTGTGTCTTGCACTCTTTCAGCCTTTGCATACCCACTGCTCCATTTTAGATAAGGTTTCCATTATTTCTCTCCCAGATCTCTTTGACAGACTTTCCACTGTTCCCCTCTGATTGATGCTCCATACTGTCAATGATCTTTTTAGTATGCAGCTGATTTTAAACCTTAAGTCTTTCCTAATTGCCTTCAGGATAACATGCAAACATTACTTACAGAATACTTGCAATTTGACCTGAGCCTGGCTATATGGACTCATCATAAGCCATTCTTTTTCTTCCTGTCATTCCAGATTTGGGGTATTTAAGTTCTCTAGTCCTTCCATTCCTCCCTGAATGCCCTTCTCTCTTTTGACTGTTCCTAATCATACTTAAATCTCACTTGGGAGATTCTCTCCTTCAGGAAACTCTTTGAATTCCAGCCTAGATTCTTTACCTTGCATTGTGTTTGCTTATTAGCCTCTTGTATTGGTCTCTACTTACCATGTATTGTAATGTTTATTCAGTTTGCCTAGTCATACAGGATGTCTTGTGGACAGGAGCTGCTGTTATTTAAAAACATTTAATAAAATAGATAACTAATAAGAGCATGCTGTATAAAAAAAATAAAATTCAAAAAAAATTAAAACATTTAAAAGTAATGTATATTTATTGTTATTTAAAGGTAATGCATGTTTATTGTAGAACATTGAAAGCACAGTTAAGCAGAAAGGGGCAAATTTAAGTTAACTCACAATCTCATCCACCAGAGATTACCATTTTTTGTATTTTGGTGTAGAATCTCTTACATACATGTAAATTTTTTTAAACAATAATGAGAAAATCAAGTGCTATTTCATAGCTTTTTATTTATTTATTTTGCCTTAATGTATAATTAACATCATTTTACATCATTACATATTTTCGTTCAACATATTTTTAATAGCAGCAGAGTAATGTGTTGAATAGATTCACCAAAGTGTTCTTAATTATTCCCGTTATTAAATATTTAGGATGTTTAAATTTTTTTTTACTGTTATCAACAATGCCTTGGTGAGCATCCTTATATAAGTGTCTTTGGAAATGGAATTCTAGATCAAATGATATGAAAAAGTTTAAGGTGTGTGATATATATTGCCAAATTGCTCTTCAGAAAGGCTTCTTGTTTTTTTAAACCAATTTCTACTCCTACCAGCAGTGTTAAGAGAGTGCTTTTTTCCTCAAAAAATAGGAGCCATCACTTTTTCATTTTTTCCAGGTTATGGGGGAAATGTTATCTGCTTTTATTTTCTATTTTCTTGATTACTGGTAAGGTTAAAAGTTTTTTCCCGGGCTTCTCTGGTGGCGCAGTGGTTGAGAGTCTGCCTGCTAATGCAGGGGACACGGGTTCGAGCTCTGGTCTGGGAGGATCCCACATGCCGCGGAGCAACTAGGCCCGTGAGCCACAACTACTGAGCCTGCGTGTCTGGAGCCTGTGCTCCGCAACGGGAGGCTGCGATAGTGAGAGGCCCGCGTAACGCGATGAAGAGTGGCCCTCGCTCACCACAACTGGGGAAAGCCCTCGCACAGAAACGAAGACCCAACACAGCAAAAATAAATAAAAATAAATTAATAAACTCCTACCCCCAACATCAAAAAAAAAATTTTTTTTTCCCTTAGACATTTGTATTTCTTCTTTTGAGAATTTCCTAGTGATTCCCTTTGCTGTTTTTCTATTGGCACAGGTCCATTTTCTTATTGATTTTTCTAAAAGAGTTGTTAAGTGTTTATACTAGTAACCCTTTCACTCTAGTATGTGTTGCAGATATTTTTCTTTCTTTTGTTATGTTTTTAAATTTTTTGATGGTTTTTGAAGCATAAACATTAAATTTTTTTAATTCAAATATATCATTCTTTCAGTGTAATATTTAGGAAGTTCATCACCACTCCAAGATTATATTCACCTATACTTTTTTTTCTAGTACTTTTATGTTTTAACATTTGAATCTCTGTTGAAATTTATTTTGTGTATAGGGAGCAGCCTTCATCCAGGGCACGGAACACAAGGTCTGTTAAGTCATGGTTCTCAGTAAATATCTGGACCCTGTCAGCAGGTCCTCACCCTTACATATTATCATTTACATACTCAGAATTATGATTATTTATACCAAGTAGCATCTAGTTGATGAAATGGTAATATAACATAGGATAGAATATATGAGTTTAAAGATGATTTGCAAGATTCTAGCAAGGATTGGAAGCAGAATTTTGGAAAGGGTGTAATTTTACCTGGGTCTTGAAGAAATTTGTGCTTCCTATGCTTTCCAGGAGCATGATTTCAGGAATAGCCCACCTAGAGAGGCAGAAAATTAACATCAATTTAAAGGAACTAATTTTGGCAGCAAGAATTATGTAGTATAGGGCTTCCCTGGTGGCGCAGTGGTTGAGAGTCCGCCTGCCGATGCAGGGGACACGGGTTCGTGCCCCGGTCCGGGAAGTTCCCACATGCCATGGAGCGGCTGGGCCCGTGAGCCATGGCCGCTGAGCCTGTGCTTCCGGAGCCTGTGCTCCGCAACGGGAGAGGCCACAACAGTGAGAGGCCCGCGTACTGCAAAAAAAAAAAAAAAAAAAAAAAGAATTATGTAGTATAATTTAAAATAGTAAAAACATATTTTTACCAGTATTTAAAGAACAAGAAAAATATAGTAAGTACTCATGTGCTCACTACCTAGGTTTTACAAATATTAACCTTTGGTCATCACATTTCAGTTTTTTTCTGAAGAAATGGATAAATCCTTGAAGCTCCCTGCACCCTATTTGTCTCACACCATCCCTTCCCTGAGGTAACCACTAGCTAAAACTAGTTTCTTACCCATCTGTGTTTTTCCTTGTCACAATTCAGCCTACCAATGCTTTAATTCAAGTTTATTAGTAGGTTGTTATTCACTGTGGCCAAGTCTAAAAGAAGAGGTTCACATGTCACAGTAAGCAATGTGGATTGGTGCTTTCTGTGTATCAGTATGGTATCTGGTAAAACATGCCATGATGTGGTATGTTATCTCTGCTAGGAATTTTTTCAGTGGGGAAACAGCACCCTATTAGCCATCTTCTTGGTCTAAGTAAATATAACTGTAAATCCTAGACTATTTATAGAAATTGCTGGTTCTTAATTTCTTAATTAAGCTGTACATACAGATTAGCAAGGATTATCTGATGTGCCATGGGCAGAACTGGAATATCTTACACTTCTTTTTATCCCATTACAGCTTGTTGTTTATTCATAGTAAGAATCTCAGAATTTTAGGAAAGGGCTCTAGAGATATTTTGATTCTACCCCTTTATATTTTATTTTAGTTTTCAATTAAAAAATAGTCTTTATTTTTAGATCAGTTTTAGGTTTACAGAAAAACTCTGCAGAAAGTACAGAGAGCTCCCATATACCTCCCTCCACCTAGTTTCCACTATTATTAACATCTTTCATTAGTGGGGTACATTTGTTGCAATTGATGAACATAGTGATATATCATTAGCTAAAGTTCATAGTTTACATTATCCCTTTATATTTTAGAAATGAACAAACTGATACTAAGAATTTCACTTGATCAGGACTTCAAAGCTAGCATGTAACCCCAAGGTTTGCCCTCTTTTTAGTGCTTCATAAATTTATTTACTTATTTGGTTGCACCAGGTCTTAGTGGTGGCAGGCGGGCTCCTTAGTTGTGGCACGTGAACTCTTAGTTGCGGCATGCATGTGGGATCTAGTTCCCTGACCAGAGATCAAACCTGGGCCCCCTGCATTGGGAGCACAGAGTCTTATCCACTGCGCCACCAGGGCAGTCCCGGTGCTTCATAAATTTAGAGAGTTATTTTGATGCAGTATTATCCTGGACTCTACAATCTGAATTAAAATGTCAGAAAATAGTGCATTTGTATAATAAAATCACACCATAAATGTTTTTGGTAAAACTTTTTCATTGTATTAATTTTTTTTGTGGTAAGTTTTTTGTTTTCTCACACATATATCATAAAACAGTATTCCCAAGTCCCTTTTCATATGTATTTGTTATTTGTTAAATTGTTCCATGTAGTTTTAAATATTTTAAGTAATAAATATTAATTTTGATGTGTTAAATTTTGCTTCATAGTGTTTCAGTGAAGTGTTTTATTTTAACTTGCATAACATTTTTGAAGTTAGAAATAGCTTTAATGTAATTATCTCATTTGAAGTATTGTCTTCCTTAGTTGACAGATGAGGAAGTTTAGAGTTGTAAATGTTCAAAAGATTGTAATAATGTCTTTCAGAAAAGATTCAGAATACAAATGTTTTCTGAGTCTAAGTTCAAAATGCTAATATTATGTGGCTTATATTTTAGACATATTAATTTCTATATCTGTTATATAAAAAGGGACCCTGAGATAAAATATGTAAAACAGTCTTTGGCTCTCTTAATCAATCCCTACTTTTTTTTTTAACTCAGAATTATTTTAGTTTAAAAAATATTTCTCACTGTTAATTATTACCTTGAAACCATAAGCATGTAAATTTATTCAGAAAACTTCAGTCAGTTTGATGTAAGAAAATAGGTAATTTTAATAACATTCTCTAATATTGAACTGTTACTTTGATGTGAAGATTTATATAAATTAAATCCATTATAGTATGTTCTCAGCTTAAAGTTATATATTTTAATTTTACTTAGTGTTTACTTAGTAAATGGGGGATCAGAAAGTATGTTTCTATTGTTTCATTCAGTAAAGATGCATGATGTATGCTCAGCACATTTGATCCTGGGGCTGCAGACTTAAGACAAGTTCTAGTTGAGAAGACTGTATGAAAAGTTGCATGAAAAAGTTAAGGTTTATTTGCTGTGTTAACATGCATGGTCAAGAAGGACTGGGGGAAACCCCAGCCTTAAAGGCTTGCTGGGGAGTGGCAGAAGAAGAGGCTGCAGAGTTTGGATTTGATTCTGTTTAAGGATTTTAAACAGAAAAATGCCATTGTTAGATTTTCATTAACATCATGGTTAGGTTTTATTAACAACATGCAATTCATAACCTTAGTAATCTACCTATTACTAGGTAATCTACCTTCTCTTAGCTCAAGGAAGTAGGTTATGATTGTGATAGACTGAAATGTGGGGAAAAAATTCCAAAATATTTTGATGAAAATGAGCCAGACTACCTGGCTATCTGGTTTGTATCTCTGTGTGTGTGTGTGTGTGTGTGTGTGTGTGTGTGTGTGTATAAATGTGAGTAAATTTTACAATAAACGAGATGGTTCAAGTTGCCATTTAAAATAATAATTATTATTTTTACAAACCATTGTTTTTAAACTTCCCATGGAAACTGCTGTTAACTAATTTTTGTTAGCACTGTAACCTTGGGTAACTTGTATCTGCTCTACTTGCAGGGACAGCATGAAGATAAATGATAGGGTAAAATAGCTTTGAACTATCAAGACACGCCATATAAATTCAAAGCGTTGGTATTGCAGGGTTTGGGAAAAGCTGAGAGCATTTATTTCTGAGGTACTTAATTTGTGGCAATTACCAAAAAGATACTTTTATTTTACAAAACTTTGTAGTATTTGATATTGTTCATCTCTTAACCCTTCTGGAAACTTTTCCCATCGCTGCCATTTCTTTGGTGTCATTTCTTTCTGGCTACAATTTTAAGGGTTTCTTCAAAGGTTCTTGGGGTGCTGTGTCCCCTGTCCCCTGGCTCTTCTTCCTTCTGTGCTCTTTCATCTGTTCTTATAGTTTTAACTACCACGTATATGTCTCATAATCCCAGTCCAGGTCTCTCCTCCAGCTTCAGACTTCAGTGTGAGACAAGCACTACTGTCAACATGTGCAAAACTGAACCCATTAATCCTCCTCTATAATCTGGTCCCTGCCCATCTCGCTGGTCTCATTTGTAGACTCCCTGTCTTGAATTTTATTCTGTAATAAGAACAGCTATAGGTTGAGCACTTACTGTGTGCCACAATCATTGTGCACCTTACTTGCATGTCTTATGTAATTTCACCACATCCCTATGGGATGGATATTTTTATTATCCCATTTTACTGATGAAATTCTGAGAAGTTAAATAATGTGTCCCAGGTCATATAGCTTGGAAATGGCAATTTTGGGATTTGAACACAGCCTGCTCTAACACCAAGTTTGTGGCTATCTATCAGAGTACCCATAATCCCTATATGTTACTTGTTACTAGTGGAAACATACTGTACATCTTACAACAGAGTCCTTCCATGTCAGCCTTTCTAGTTTGGTATATAATTCAAGACTCAGGGATAACTGTAATAAGAGCTAAGTGATCACTTTCAACTTCTGGGAAGGTCACATTATTACCTATATTATGATACTGGTTCCTTAAGTAGAAGTATATCGGGTTCCTTTTAGACTCAATACACAGCTGTATTGAGTTGTGATTGTGTATGAATGTAACAAGCATGTTCTCCTTTTGCTTAAGGCTGCTTTCCTGAGATGTGCTCTTAATGCCTGGGTTCAGCAACTCAGCACCCTGCCAGTTCTTACCTCCTTGGTGTGGTGTCTTCTCAGGCAGTGTTCTTAGTCTGGAACGTCTTCATCCTTCCTCCTATTTTCACCTTCCCCTTGCTCGGCAAACTTCTACATTTTAAGAACTTAGCTGAGGCATCATCACCTTGTGTAAGAAGCTTCCCAGACCTTCTCCTGTATCTCTAGGCTGAATAAAGTCTTCTTGCTCTGTATTCCTTTAGCGTCTTGTATATATCGATAAGCATTTTAAACTGTCATAGTGTCATAATGTACAAATATTTGTTTACATTTTAGTCATTCTCATTAGATGATGAGCACTCTGGGATAGAAATGATGTCTCAGGCATTTTTGTGTCCATAGTACTCAAATGCCTTATGTACTTTTATTGAATTACTGCCTGACCAAATGACTAAATGATTGCTTTTATTGCTAGTGTCAACTTTCTAGACACTATAAACCTAATAACACTGTTTATTATTTTTTCAATTGAAGGACTAGTGTATTTGATCAATAATCATAAGACTAAAAAACATAGTTTTTTATTTCTCTGTTGTTACATAGCATCACAGCCAAACTGTTCCCAATCAGTGATAATTTATCTTATTTTAAAAAGTTATAATGACATGTACATTTTAAAATGTGTTAGATTGCATATATTCAGTGGTTAAAGAGTTCCACAGAATTTTGAGTGTTAGGTGATCGTTAGCCTTTTAAACCCATTCTATTCTGAAAGTATAAATTTAATGCTTTGTTATCAGGCATTGCAGTAATTCATGCTGTGATTTCATTTGTACTGCTAATGTTATGTTTTTTCATTAAGGCTTTAATTACCTCAAATATTTAATTAAAGCTGTGTTTTCAAGTATATGGCATAATGATCTTAAAGATTAACTGTGTACTTGCAAGTGTAGTCAAAAATAGAAATCCAGAGAGACTTATTTCGTGCCAGTCTCAGCATGATTATAATTTTCCAAAGTGATTTTCATGTTTGAAGAACTTTTTTTTGTTTGAACCTAATATTCTGTTTTAAAAAAAGAAAGCTTTTAAGGTAAAATCTAACATTTTTCCTTGATAGCTGCTTTAAGAGTAGTAATGTTTCAAAGTGTGTAAAAGTAATTATTTGGACAGTGTTTTTTTTTTTTTAAACTGAAATCTTGACAAGAATGGAGCAGGGGAAACATAAAATGCTACCTTTGTAGTAGAGAATGAAGGGCCATTTTCCTTAAAAAGGTATATTTGAGATTTTTTACTCTGGCTCATAAGGGATGGGAAAAGGATCCATGATGTTCTTAGGAACTGCTGACCCAGTTGATATATGTTTGCAGTATGGTCTCCTGTGACTTCTAGAGTAGGCATGGTCAGCTGCTATCTCTTCCTGTGCCTGCCTGTGCTTTCCCTTTACAACAGTCATCACACATAAATCTCTAATGCCTCTTTTCTTTCTAGGCTCTAAAGTTTATGATGGCTAGGGATTGTGGATGTTTGTTTGGTACTGTGTAATCGGTGCCTAATCAATAGTTACAGAATAAGTGATGCAAACAAGCAGAAAATGGGGATTTGTTCCCCAAAAGTAATTGTTTTGGTCATGGTGATGTTTGAAGCACTGTAGATCTTGAAATAAATTGTTAAAGAGCAATTGAATTAGCTTTACTATTATGGTCTAATTCATTATATATCTAGTAACTTCAGTTATCCAAAATATTGTTTAAATGCTATACAATCCATCTTTTTTGGATAGTCATTTGTTATATTTTATTTAAGAAATTATTTTGTACTTAAATTTTGTTCTTTGATATTTGGAAGTTATGAATTCTTCAAACAAAATAGTAGAGTTATACTCTACATATCTCAAAGCTTCCATAAGAAGTAAACATATTTTTCAAAGTTGATAATACAGGTAAAACTTTCCCGTGGATAGAAGTACCCAGACCTCACATTCTACCTCAGATCCGTAATTCATAATCTGCTGTGTGCCTCTTTGGCATTTCCACTGACCCCACCACTGACTGACTGGGAATGGGGTGTGGGGATGCTACTGGTTGTGACTTACCACTGACTCGAGCAGAGACGTACTTTTGTTTATTCTTCATGGTGGATATAGGGATGGTTGAAGCATTTACGAAAGACTAAGGCTCCTGGATAACAAAGGAAATTAACATGAAGAGTAAATTAATTTCACTTACAAAAACCAAAGTCCCCACCATGGCCTACAAGGCCCTACGTTATCTGGCCTCTGATGCGTTTCTGACTTCCTGTCCTTCTTCCCTGCTCCTGTCTCACTGGGTTTTACCACACTGGCTTCCTTGCCTTTGCCCCAGCTGTACTCTCTTGCCCCAGATATTTGCATAAGTAACTCCCTCCTTCAAGGTCTTACTCAGACTTTACCTTCTTTCTCAGTGAGGCCTGCCCTGATCACCTTATGTAACTACAGTCCATATCCTGCTCTACTTTATTCTTTTTTCTGTAGTATCTAATCACCTCTAACGTATGATATAACCTATAATTTCCTTATTTCTTATATGTATTATATTGTTTGTCTCCTGTAACTAAAATGTAAGTTTAATAAGGGAAGGGTTTCTCTATCAGTTTTTGTTTTTCATTGTTTTTGTGGTTATTTAAATAAACAAGTGTATCTCAGGTACCTAGAACACTGGTGTATGGTATACAGAAGATGGTCAGTAACTGTTTGTTTAATAAAGAAGTCCAGATCCAAGAAAGCCAGGCCTAGACAGATGAAAAAACACCCTTTCTTGCCATCTAAGTTCTGCTTTTTAACCCTTCTTGGAATGATTGCCAGTGAAGAATGACTGTACTTGGTAGAAACCCTGACTCTACCCCATGGGAATGTGGCCCAGTTATGCTGTGGCTTTCTCTCTATATTCCCAAAATGGTGTTAATAGATGGTCTCATCATTTATACTAAGCAGTAGTTAAACCTGGAACAGAAATGAGCTTTAGTGGTGGAGTGAATCGCTGAGATAATAGGACCAGTATAGTAGGTTTGTTCCTTTATAACCTGCCCCAGGTTTGAGAAGTTCGTAGGAGTTAAGTGAATTAGGTTCTGGTTCTGACTGTAACCAATTCATTGTCTTATCTTATGACTCTGGACTTATGTTTCTTCAATAGTAAAATTGAACTGGATTGTATTTTTTTTCTAACTCTGTGAAGTTTAGCTATATCATCAGAAACATTTTAAGCTTTATAATTTAGGAACCCTCTTTCAAAATATGTTAGCGCTTAGGTTAATAATCATGTTACTATACTATGTTTAAGATTTATACTTGGTAAGGTGCTGCATATATAAAAACAGTTGAGCATAGTAGTAGTGTCAAGAACCTAACAATCATTCTTTTCTTATGTAATTTCACAGGAAAAAACAAATTTTTGCTAATCCTTAGACTTCAGTTAACTAGAAAATTGAGTCTTTAGACATGATAGATAACTCATGCTAGGATCTATCTCCCTCCTTGCTTTCTCTCTTCTTTCCCTTATTTCTTCTCTATCCTTCAGGTTATCTACTGTACAGTTTCCCTTTTTTTTTTTTTTTTTTTTTGCTTAGAGAACAAAAGGATGACACTTTACAGGTATTTTTCAAGAATTTTGCTTTTTGAATATATATTTTATTCATCATTGTACCCCCTAGCATCCAGCAGATTGTATTGTACATATAGATGCTCCTTAAGTGTTGCTTGGATGAATGAATTTGCTTTTATTTTTACCTCAATACTTAATTGACTCAAAGTGATTTTTAAATTTTTATTGTTTTAAGAAAGGTGACTCTTGTGATGGTGGGACTTGATAATGCTGGTAAAACGGCAACAGCAAAGGGAATCCAAGGAGGTAAGCTGAAAAAATTTATTATTAAATTACTCTGATTTATTTATTTAAATTGCTTTATTACATATTCATTGGGTACATATACTGTGTACTCTATTACTTTATATTCTTAGTATACTTGAGGCTAATGTGGTGAATAGACTCTGGCTTAATAGTACCAGCCTGTTATGTTTCAGATTTGAATGAATGCAGAGGCTCCTCGAGGTTTTTGATCAGCTAAGAGGGATCGCAGCTGTCTTCTAGCCAGTAGGAAGGAAAAAGTAAAAAAAGGACATGCCCCTGCCTTTAAGGATCCCTATCTTTTACTTACATTTTCTTGGCCAGAATTTAGTCACAGGGCTACAGCTAAATGAAAGGGAGGTAGAAATACAGTTAGCCAGCACAGTTCTCTTTGCATTTTTTGATTTTTTTTCAACATGATGTGTAATTTTTACAGTTACATTAAAGATACATTAAAGGGTTTTATGTCATTTATATTACATCTCATTGGATGTATTTATTTAGTCTTAATTTAATGCTTTGTAACTACAATATAGAGGTACTATACTAGTGAGTTTGTTGTGTACCCAGAAGATGTAGCACGAGCCAGGCATCTTGAGGGTATGAATTGGGAGAAAACCTAACATATATTTGTTCCTGAAAATGGATTTTGCAACTAGATATCATGCGTGACAGATAGGGAGCTTTTATTTATGGAAATTCATGAAAAAAAATTGACATCTTGAAAAATTTGGTGTTGGAGAAAAACATTTTGTCACCCCCAATTAGTTGCAAACTATATATTATTGTTTGAGGAGGCTTCTAAAGCCTTTTTGTACCCCTCATGCTGTCACCTAGGTTATATCCTTGCAAAGCACTCGCTGTCACCATCTAAACCAAGGGTTTGCAAACTTCTTCTGTAAAGATCCATATAGTAAATATTTTAGACTTTGAGAGTCATATGGTCCCTTTCCCAGCTACACAGCTCTGAGATAGTAGTGCAGAAGTAGCCATAGAAAATATGTAAACAAATGAGCATGGCCATGTTCCAATGAAACTTTATTTATAGACCCTAAAATTTGATGTGTTATGAAACATTATCCTTGGGTTTTTTTTGGAAATTATTTTAAAATGTAAAACACATGCTTAGCTTGAGGGCCATGTGAAAACAGGTGGCCAGCCAGATTTGGCCTGCAGGCCATGAAACCTTATCTAAACGTTTTCTCTTTCATTCCTTCAAAGCCTTATGTTCAAGGGAGCGGGATCCAGGAATGTGCTAATCAGACTGTCTAATTATTTGTGTGTACTTAGAACAAACTCTTTCGATCAGGCCTTCTTCTTCTGAATTCCACCTCCATTAGTTTCTTTTTCTGAGTTTAGAAAATGTTCAAAGTGTCACATCATGAACAAAAAGTCAAAGCTGCTTTCAACTTTGAGCTCCCCTCTGGCTCTGTTTTTGTTTTTCATTTCATGTTTACTCTTCAGCCTACTCCAGTGACTGATTTCTTACCATTTTTCTTTTTTAAAGATTCCAGTTATATAGAACGACTTGAAGTTTTTCAAATTGAGCCTTTTGATACCTTTGTGATTTTGTTTATGCTGTTCCCACTTGCCTTATTAAAGAGAATATCAACTTATCCTTAAAGACATTATCTACTTATCTCTAAAGATGCTTGTTTGTCGTATCGTCTCCTTCTTTATGAAGTTTCTTCTGATCTCCTGCTGCCCTCACCCCTTACCACCACCGTCAGTACAATTGACCACATCCTCTGTTTATGTCTACTCTTATCTGTATCTACTTGTATAGCTACTTAATTGCCCCTCTTTTTATGTATTACTCTACCTCTCCAGACTATAAATTCCCCAAGGGCAGTTTTACTTATTTTGGTGTCCCAGTTCAGGCCATGCCTTAGTAGGCAGTCTTCCTAAAACATTTCTCCCATGGCTTCTCTTAGCTTATTTCTGTTTTGTTTTTTATTAAAATTAAAAAAAAAAATTTTTATTGTATATTTCCTCCTTTCATTTGAGATAATCTTCCTCTCCTACTGTGTTGCCGTTGTCTGTGTCCAATATAATATAATTTTATTATAGCTTCCTCATCTAAGAGTACTTTCCCTATCTTGAGGTTCACTTCCTTCAATCAGCTTCTCTTCTTCATGGCTGTCAAAGTGATTGCATTAATAGGATATAGGTTCAGTTGTGCTAACAAATAAGCCTAAAATAACAGTGGTTTAATAAAATAGTTTATTTCTCTATCATATTACAGCACAGGGAAAAGTAGTCTAGGGCTGGCATAGCAGCTCTCTGGTATTAGAGACTCAAGTTCCTTTTCCTATTTGCTTTGCCATTCCTAGTGTTCTCCCTTGCCTACCTGGTCCAAGGTGTCTCACTACTACATGTGCATTTCAGCTGGAAGGAAGAAGTAAAGGACAAAGGGAGGCTATCCTTCTCTTTTTTTAAAGTATGTGAACCAGAAGCCACCACATCATTGCAGTTCATAGGCCATTAGCTAGAACCCGTGGTGTTCCAGAGCTGGTTGCTACTTGCTATTATTGGCTCATATTAGGCAACGAGAGCCAGTTAGGCACCTCTCCTCCAAACTCTATGTTCAGGTGCCTCATATTGGTAATTTGAAATAGTCCACAGCGGGATTATTTACACCATGACAATTGGAAAACACTACCTATCAGAGTTCCACAGCCTCCAAAGCCAGTTAAACATTTAACAGTATACCACCAGCACATTATCTAAAACCTGTTCTCATGGCCACCCCTAGCTGCCATAGAGACTGGGGATTACATTCTTTATCCTGAACAGCCATGTGCTCAGCTAAAAAATCCAGGATTCTCTGACTTTCCAGTATTATTTCCTAATAGTTCTAAGGAACTGTTGTTATTTTGGGTGGGAAAATTCTTTGTGTAAATTGGTCCCTAGCATTGTTGACATTAACACATCTTTATTATATCGTAGTTATTTGTTTATGTATATATTTCTTCTTTTTCCATCTATATAAGTGCTCTATAAGATCAGAAAATATTAATAAATTTTATTAATCTTTGTATATCTAGGACCTTTCATAGTACTTAGCATATAACATAAGCTCAATAAATAGTTATTGATTATATATTTTCATTTTATCTTGAACTTTGTAGGCATTGTCTTAACACATATGCTTTACTGAAATCCTCAGGATTAGGGACCATATGTGTTTGAACGCCTGGTTCTTGTATGATGCCTGATTTATAACAGGCCCTCAATAAATGATTACAAGGATGGATGGATGGGTAAATATATGGAAGAATGGACATAACGATAGCAGCTTCAGCTGTCCTAGCAGTCTGGTGTTGTAGTATTGAGAAGTTATATGCTTTGTACTGAGTGCTAAGGATACAAAGATAGTTACCAGCTATTGGGAAGGTATAGGCTATTGTGGAGACCAGCAAGAACACAGAATATTACAATAGATGGTGTAGGTGATACTGAAAGTAAGAAGGAATCATCAGAGAACGATTTACAGAAAAGGTCGTAACCTGAACATTTAGTCTTGAGTCTTGAAACACAGAATCATGAGTAGGAGCCAGAGGAAAGAGCAGAGAAATTGGGGAGGGTGTTCCATGTATCAAAAGAAACAGGCTTTTAAAGTCCTGAATACCTGAATTTGAGTCCTGGCTCTGTCTACCATGTAACCTTGAAAAAATTACTTAATATGAATTGGTTTCCTGGGAATAGTGCCATCATTTTATCTGTACTTACATTGTTCCCCTGCTTGGAATTTTATTCTCCCTTCTTTGTTATAATTTTTTTGTCTTTTAAGACTTTACTCCTATTTCATTTCCTCTCTGAAGGCTTTCTAGGCCATGACTCACTTCTAGCTCCTCTTTACCCTTTTTCTCTTGAATGCCCTCCATCTTAGTTTGGGCTGCTATAATAGAATACCATAGACTTAGTGGTTTAAACAACAGGTATTTCTCACAGTTCTGGAGGCTAGGAGCTGCAGTCAGGGTGCCAGTATGGTCAGGTACTTAGTGAGGGCCCTCTTCTTGGTTTATAGACAGCCATCTTCTCACTTGTATCCTTATGTGGTGGAAAGAGAGAGAGGAAACAAGCTCACTTATGTCTCTTCTTATAAGGGCACTAATTCCATCATGGGGGCTCCATCCTTGTGACCTCATCTAAACCTAATTACCTCCCAAAGGCCCTACCTCCAAATACCATCACATTGAGGATTAGGGTTTCAACAGATGAGTTTTGCCAGGGACATAAAAGTGCAGTTCATAATACCTTCACACTGTGCTCTCCAGTCTTGTTTGTAGAACATATAGGTTCTTGTGTTATTCCCATTAATGGGAATAACACAGTTCTCTCTGAATTGTACTGGATATTCTTTGAGGACAGCAACCCTTTTTTATTCATCTTTGCATTCTAATGCCTAACAAAGTCCTGGTACTGAGTAGGTATTCTGTATGTGTTATTTCCCTTATCCCTTCCTCAGGATAGTTGATTTATTTTCACTGATAATTTCCTGGGGGTACCTTTCAAATCATACTCAAAGACAGCTGCCTATTTTAACTGTGAAGCCAGTTCTGGCCTGGACTAGATCCACATTTTTAAATGTCTAGTTTAATTCTGTTTTGGAATATATGGCTGCTTTTGTTGCTTCTAAACTTGCCTTTTTCTCCTTCTAGATAAGGCAGGTCTTTTAAAAATTTGACTTGTGATGTCTGTTAACTTTCTAGAGAGCTGTGTAAACTGCATTAAGATGCTTGCTGAAAGGGAATGGTACATTGCAAGTCTGTTTCTCTGTCACACCTAAGCCTAACAGCAAATGCCTCTCAAATTTATCGTTTTTTTTTTTTTTGTGGTACGTGGGCCTCTCACTGTTGTGGCCTCTCCCGTTGCGGAGCACAGGCTCCGGACGCGCAGGCTCAATGGCCATGGCTCACGGGCCCAGCCGCTCTGCGGCATGTGGGATCTTCCCGGACCGGGGCACAAACCCGTGTCCCCTGCATCGGCAGGCGGACTCTCAACCACTGCGCCACCAGGGAAGCCCTCAAATTTATCTTTGTAATAGCAAATGTTTTGCTGAATGTGGGAATGATAAGACCCTCTAAACCAGTGTTGTTCAGTAGAGCCATTGCAATGACGGACATGTTCTATATTGGCTCTGTCCAGTAGGGTGGGCCACCAGCCACATGTGACTTTTGGGCACTAGAAATACAGCTTGAACAACTGAGGAGCTGAATTATTTTATTTAAGTTTAATTGATTTAAGTTTTAAAAGCCTCATGTAGTTTGGTGGCCACTGTATTGACCGTGCAGCTGTAAACAAAGTACAGTGGAGTAATATTTGTTGTGAATTCTAGCGATGAAGAGAGAATGGAAGAGACAGACATGAAGTTTGAACTCTTCTCTGTAACCACTGAGTCACTTGGTTCTGTTAATCTTTCATGAGTTCTCTCTTGCCATTCTTCTATTTTTATTTTCATACCTCTCCAAAAAGTGGCTATCACTCTCATTTTCAGTCCGTTCTAGAGACTTTTGCAAAGATGAATCTGAAGAAAGACTACTTAAGTCACCTTAATTATGTTATTGGTCTGCTAAAATACCTTCTGTGGCTCCCAATTCTCTATCTTCAGAACCCTCTTCATTGTACATTCAGGCTTAGGGGTTTGCTCCAACTACAGTGTTCAACTTGTGCGTGCATCTTGCTTTTACCATTTCTATTACTTAGGTCACTCATCTGACTGTCTAAATCCTACCGAGCTTTAAGGCTTAGGTCCCAGCTCCTAGTTCGTCTTGAACCTTAGTGATCTTTTTAATCTCTTACTGTCATTACCTCTCTGGCAGTTATAATTGTATACATCCTGTACCTTCTTCTTTGTGCTGTCATATGCGGAAGTCCAAAGAAATTCAATTATAAATTTATGAGAATATCCTGTATTCTATTCTTGTAGAAGAAAATAAAATCTACTCTTTGTATTTGCAAGCTGTCCTTAAAAGTCTCTTTATTGCAATTATAGATTTAATTCAGTTAATTAAAAAAGAAAGGTCCTATACTCTTCATAGCTTCTCCCATTATTTGGTTGTTCTAGACTATTCTCTAAATGTTTAGTTTTTCTTTATAACTCCACAGAGGTTGTAATGGTCCTTGGGGATGGCTGTGGTGTTGAAGGTTGAAATTTTTATTGTTTGTAACTTGGGGAGTCAGTGGCCTTAAAGGCAAGAGTTCATTTGTTTATTTATTCTACAGATCCTTATTAAGTACCCATTATATGGTGGGCATTAGTTTAGGAACTGGGGTTATATCAATAAAAACAAACAAGCAAACAAAAAAAACAGACAGAAATTCCTATCTGCAAGGAGTGTAAATTCTAGTTGGATATTTTATAGTATCTACCTTTCCCCCAAACCAATGTGCTTAGATATAACGCTTATTGTGTAAGCAAATAATAAACATTCTATTTAGTTCTAGAGTATGATGAATAACACATTTATGTCATTTAAGTTGTGAAGTTAAATTAGTGTTATTAATTTAAGGTCTAAAGATTCTTTCTTTTATATCATTTGAAACAGAGTATCCTGAAGATGTAGCACCTACCGTTGGATTTTCCAAAATTGACCTTAGACAAGGAAAGTTTGAAGTCACCATCTTTGACTTGGGAGGTGGAAAAAGAATTCGGGGAATCTGGAAGAATTACTATGCTGAATCTTACGGAGTAATATTTGTTGTGGATTCGAGTGATGAAGAGAGAATGGAAGAGACAAAAGAGACAATGTCAGAAGTGATAAGACATCCTAGGATATCGGGAAAGCCTATATTGGTGTAAGTAATGTTGGTGTCATTGTAAACGTAGAGACAGCAGCATTAAGTCATTAAATTTACCTAAGTTACAAAATACTGAATAAGCTAAATTGTCACACCCTCGTATGATAAAATGTATGTAATTTACTGGGAGTTGTTAATATACCAAGGCCTTATTATAATGCTATCTGTAGAGGTTAAGCACAGAGGCTATGTAATGAAGAAATCTTATAATTAGATCTCCTGGGTTTTCAAATGTAAACTCTTTGTTTTATTTGATCATTTACTTTTGTCAGATTTTGAAAATGGTCTATTAACAAGGTTCTAAAATGTTTTTCAATTTATTTTCCTCTTTTAATAACTTATTTGTGTTTTGCCTCTGTCCTTTTTTTCTTGAAGAGTATTCTTGTTTGAAGTTATTTAGATGGTTTATTCTTTTAATGCCATGTTGATTTCTCAGTTTTTACTACTATATTTCCGAACTGAACATGTGATCTCTGCCATTATCAACTTAGTTGTATGCTTAGCATCATTTTGTCCAGCTGCCTAAACATTTAAAAAAAATTAAGTGACAAAGGACTTTTGCACTACCCGCCCTCATAGCATTTCTGCATAGTAAACACCAGATGGTGCTATAACTTTGAGACATAGTAAAGTGAAAGTAGTTTAAATTGCTCTTAAAATTGGAGTAAGTGGAATGTGTGTTTTGCCTTCTTGTCCCTTTTCCCTCGTTCTTGTGTTTCATTACTAACAATTAAAAAAAACCCAAACAACCTATCACATGGTTAACTGAGAAATTGCAAGACAGAGTTCCTCAGTGGTCCTCAGTAATAAATGAACATTTTTAAATGAGGCAGTTTGGAAGCTCTGATTACAAAAAGTAAAACTTTATTGTATCATTTATTGTTAAGCTTATACTGTTTAATTTTTATACATTTAACTAATTAAAGAAGTTATTTGATATATATATATAATTAATTCTCACCTTTATTGAATATGAAATAGATTTTAATAGATATGTATACAAAGAGTAAACTTTGTTGAACCCATAGACTAAATTAGTCTCTATAAATGTTTAAGCATAGAACCAGTGACTTCTAAAGCAAAAAGTATTAATGACTGATGTTCATTTGTAAAATAATTGAGTGTGCTTTTTTAACCCAATAGTTATTTATTTAATTTATTCTTTTATTCATGTATTCTTTCATGCATTTATTCATTCATACATGTACTAATTCGACAAATATTTATTGAACATCCACTGTGTGCTAGACATTGTTCTGGTGATAGGGATACCTTTGGGAACAAAAACAATAAAACTCCATGTATGATCTCAGGAACTTACATTCTAGGGGGTGACACACAATAAATGTAATAAATAAATTGTACATTAGGTGATAAGTATATTGAAAACAAAGCAGGTAAAAGAAGATCAGGAATCCTATGGTGGTGGTGGTGACAGGGGCATGTTACTCTTAAAATTAATAATCATACTAGGTCATATTGAGAACATGACACTGGACGTAAGAGAGTCAGTCATGCAGATAGATGTATGTGGCACAGCCCTGAGGCAGAGGCATGCAGTTTGTGTCTGCAGTGTTTACTGAATAATCCAGTGTCAGCAAGATATCTGCTTTCAGTTCTGTCACCTCTCTCAGCTAGTGAATTTCCAGAATTGGAAAAAAAAACAACAACTCACAACTAGGATGATTGCTCACCATTATAATTTCATAGTCAGTGCGATCTCACAAAGACATGGGAATTAATTAGGGATCAATAATATGTTTATGAAATATGGAATGGTTTGCCATTTGATGAGTTTTTCTCAAAGGAGTTTTACAACCATAGAATTTTTATTAATAAAGGTAAACTTTTTGAGATGTGTGTGCTTCAGAAATATACAAAATTTACTAAAAAGTAAATATTCTCTTTTTTTTTGGCCATACTGCACGGCATGTAGGATCCTAGTTCCCCAACCAGAGATCGAACTCACGCCCCCTGCATTGGGAGCGCAGGGTCCCAAGCACTGGACTGTCAGGGAAGTCCCAAAAAGTACATATTCTTAATAAATTTAGAAGATGTAGGAAAGAATGAGGTTAAAAAAAAAAAGATTGACCTATCATGCAGAGCCAACCACTGCTATCATTTTGATGAGTTTCCTGTGCATATTTTTGTAAAACATGTAACGTATGCAGTGTTCATATAATACATAAAATTTTCTATCCCACTCTTTTTTCTGTTTATACATCCGTCTTGAATATCCACCCTAGTCCCATATTTGGAAGTTCTCCTGTTTACCTTTTTCTCTCTGACCTACAATTAATTTGTCTTTTTGATGTTACTATCTTAATATCGTTTGAGTCTCTTTACTCCTCTCTATCCCCTTTAATGTTACCTCCTTTCAGCCTTTCTTCACTTCTCCCTTGTGTTACTGATTACTCTCCTAACCAGTCTCCCTGGTAGCAGTCTTGCCTATTCTCTAAGCTCTCCTCTACATTGCTAGCAGAGCCCTTTTCTTTATTTGATATTTTTCAAATTACAAAATTGATACATGCTTTAATAATTGAAACAATGCAAGAATAGATAAAGTACTTGAGAGCTCTGTTTTAAATCCAAATTTGATCATTTTACTTTTCCTCTGCTCAGAGTCCTTCAGGTTGCCTCCATAGCTCCACACAGATAGGAAAGTCTGTGTTTTAACTGACCCTAGCACATAATAGGTATGGCATTGAAAAGTCCATTGGATAGTAAGTGGGAGGGGCGTCCAGTAGAGCCCTAGTAAGCTGAGTTCTAGGGGCTAGTGGGTGTGGAGATGTAGGGGAGGCTACCTGAATTAGGAGGCTGGCTATAGTGCTCCTTGTTGCACATAGCTGCTTCCTTCCTGCCCGCGGACATTTGGACCTCTCATCTGCGAAATTCTATAATGGCATCTAATTTCTTCCGATCACCACTTGTCTGTCTGAGTCTAAACTAGTTGATTTAGGACCTACAAAGCCTCTCAGAACTCACTTCAACCCCTTGATAATTTTCTCTTCCCACCCTCTAATAATGAGCAAACAGAGGACAACAACAGACCTCTGAGAAGATTCAGTCATTCAACAGAAGGAAAGAAACCTGAAGAATTATTATCTTGTCTATAATCATGAAATTACAAATTGGTAGAGCAGGATTCATTCATGCTATGGGAAGCAGAGTAGATGACCACGATAGCAGGTCCTGGACACACTAGCTCTGCCTGACCTGATTCTGCACAGCAGTCTGACAGCATGTGTCATTGCAAATGAAGCCTCAGTCACATTTCACTTTATGTCACAGATGTGAGGGTTCTCTTGAAAGATCAGAGTCGTAGATCACTAGGCTTCGGTGTTTTATTAGCTCGGAATTTCTGTTTGGCAGTTCTCTAGTATTTACTGCTTAATCAGCATAATATTCCAGTCAAAATCTCTGAAATAAATGGTGAAAAGGTGAAAAAACATGGGTTTAGAGAGAAGACAGAGAATCTGAAACCTGGATTCTAAAAGTTGTGTATTTGTTTATGACCCTGACAAGTCACTTTACTTCTTTGGACTCAGTGGTTAAATGACTCTTCTTTAATAAAAGTAACTGTAAAATATAGTAATTCTGGGATTGTATTCAGCTGTGTATTATTATGTGGACCTTAGTATAGTCTATGCCAAGAATCCATTTTGGTAAAGAGGTAAAAGTGATTTGTATTCCTTCTAAAGAAAGTAAAAATGGATGCCATGCAAATATTTGGTCTGTTATCATGCTGAGTTGTTTATTTACCTAGAATAGAAAGTCTTTTTTCTCTCATGTCTACTATAGGTTAACTTGAACCTCTACTCTGATTAATTAAGGTATGAATTATATTACCTACCCTCACATTCCCCCCACCACATACATACTCTTGCTTTAACCATTTATAATTTAATTATTTATTAAAATCTCTAATACTAGATAGTCTTGACAGATAAAGAAGACCTTTCCAAGAGAAAAAGTAAACAACTTTTGCAGTGGTATAAGTAGCACTGAAATCAGTAGTAATTCCAAAATTTAAGCTCAACATCCACCGTAGAAATTTTCCATTAATAATACAAGGTACTATTTGTTGATTCCTTGTGGAAAGGGCTGAGCTAGGAGGTATTTTAAACATCTTAACCTATTGAAATTTTCAGCAGCCCAAGGTTACACCAATGTTATATAAGAAGGCACATGTTCTTTCTGCATCTCTTCTTTCTAGTACAGTCTTGAAAGTTGCCCTCAGAGCGATTGTAAATTACCCTTCATTTTTGGTGGTTGAATCTCCTAATACTTATAACTGAAATAACTCTGGAGATCCATAGGCTAAAATTTCCTCCCAGGATAATAACAATTCTACTTGTGTTAGCATACTTGGAGTGATGCCACTTTCTCATTATATACTGTCTGCTTTTCTGTGGAGTTATATGACCTAACTTAACTTTTGGTCAGACCTCACAAATTAGATGCTTCACAACAAAAATGTATAGGAGTTTCACTCAGGGAAGAAAACATAATATCTCATATATGATCTGGCTAGATGTTATGAACATTTCAGTAAAAAAAAGTTTGACCTGGAGGTCTTTGCACCATGGGTGGCTTCCCAAGACCCTCTGAAATCACATACACAATTCTGAGTGCATGTGTATTTTTCTTGGGAGCAGATTCTAGCTCTCATCAAATTCCTAAAGGATTTCATGGCCAAAGAGGTTAAAAAAAAACATGGCAGTGAGTTTTTATATTAGGAGAAATAATAAGCAGGGTTTTATTATTAATAATTTTTTTTACTGATATCGGACTTTTATCTCCACCCTCTATATGCCTATTTGACTCACCTTTCTTCTAGACAGTATTACAGGAAACTGTTAGTTTGCAAGTTTCTTTGAGTCATATTCTTTCTTATAAGTGCCCAAGAGAAGTTAATTAGGTTATGGGTTATCCTAATACTGTTCTTAGAATTTGAGTCAAATGGACTTTCATGAGTCAGACCTTTCAATAAGAAA